GGTGGGCAAAGGGGTGGGGGGTGGAAATGAGGAGGGAAAGAAACTTTCCTTGGGGCGCTGGGCACACGATGCAGTGCGCAGATGATGTTTTATCGAGTTGTACACTTGAAACCTATATGGTTTTGTGAACCAATGGTGCTCCAATAAATTCAATTAAAAATAATAAATAAAATATTGAAAATACAGTACTGCTTTATATCACAATAAAATGTGCTGGGTTAAGAATAGCTGATTTGATGCATTTCTTCTAAACAGTGTAGTCCAGAATCAAATGTTTTTTTGAGGCCACACAAAAGTGGCACTATTTTTTTTTAGCCCTGGCTGGGTTGCTCAGTTGGTTGGAGCATGGTCCCATACACCAAAAGATCATGGGTTCAATTCCCACTCAGGGAACATACTGTACTTAAGTTGTGGGTATGATACCCAGTCAGGGTCTCGTATGGGAGGCAACTGATTGATGGTTTTCTCCCATGTCATTTCCCTTTCTCTCTCTCCCTTCCTCTTTCTGAAAATCAATTTAAAAAATATATCCTTGGGCAAGGATTTAATAAAAAATGACACTATTACCCAGAAGCAAAATTTTACTTGGCTTTCATAGATTCCACAGAATATTGGGTGTGATAAGAATGTAAATTATTATACAGAAATGATGCCTGGATGCAGAAGAATTAAAACAGAAAATTAATATGAAGTGAACCAGATGATATCTGCTATGAACAACTAATGCAGATTCTGGACCAGACCTGTATAATCAACACCTTCATATTTCTTTTTTCCTTACCTTAGTTCCTTCTTGTCTCACAAGTGATATGAGGCCAAGCACTCATCATAATAGTTATTGTTTCCTTTTTACCCTTAATTTCTATCTGGAAAGGTAACATTGGGCATCATCTTTTTTTTTTTTTTTATTCTCACCCAAGAATATTTTTTCATTGTTTTTTAGAGAAAGATGTTGGGAACTGCCCTGCCCGGTTTCAGAAACTGTGACTCCTCATGGCTAAGGCTGAGTAAAAAGACCTTGGGACCATAAGCCATTAAGGAGACAAAGCTTGTCTTTCTTGTAGGGGTGCCGCCTCTGCCCCTTTCACTTCACCTGCTTGACCCCGGGCAGATGACTGGTTAGCCAATGATGGATAAGATTCTGCAAAGGAGGGGTGACCTAAGACATTTATAGTTGAAAAGGGCCCTCAGGAAGGACTTGGGGGGGTATAGAAAAATGGGGTGATGGACCCCTGCCCCTCAGCTTTAACATAGCCTGAGTCCTCATTCTGTCTGCAAGAAGTCTCCTAATCTCTTGGCTGCCTTATTCCCCTGCCTGACTTAAGCCTGAAACAATGCCGGAGGTGGGTGCAGCCCTATGCTGGAAAGGGCAGGTTCCCCAGGGCAATCAGGCCTAAGAAAGAATGCATAAAATCCTGTACAATCTACTTTGCTAATACCCTCAGTTTAAATGATAAGGGTCCTAGCATGAAAGGAGTTTGTTTCCCCACAGTTTTGTGGCCCTTTAGCTATTTGATCCTGACTCAAAATAAGCCCTCATAGTTCTTTGAATGTTGTCTATTGTTTGATCATTACTGCCTGACAATGATTGATGAGCTTTCTGTATACTCCCTGTATTCCTGTGCAAATAAACCCAACAAAAGCCCACTGAGGAATAGGTCCTGAGAGAGAGAGATCACTTGCCTTTTAGAATGCACCCACACTGGGAATTGTACTCCCAGTACAATTGGGTATGTGCCCTGAACTGGAATTGAACCCACTACCTTTTGATCTACAGGATGTCTGCTCCAACAAACTGAGTCACACAGGCCAGGGCTGGGTATCACCTTTCAACCTACTTCACAGGTCAAAACATAAAACTGGTTACACACACAGTCGAGGATGTTGAGTGTTTGGTGATGTCAGCCCCATCAAAGGTTTAGAAGAATATTGTTTCCTTGACAGGAATTGCAGTGATTACTCCAGCAATGGTCAACCAGAAAAATGTTTAAATTTCCTTACATGAGTTACATTAGACAATACAATTGTCTTTGACCATATCTTAGCTGAACAAGTTGAGGTTTGCTCTGTTTTAATACCTTTTGTTGCACTTGGACAAAAGACCTCTGATAAAATAAAAATGAAACTAGATAAAATCTAGGCATAAGCCAAATAGTTAAATGCAGCACCCACTGTTACCACATGACCCTTTATTTTCAGCTGACTGCTTGCAGAGACGTTATGAAGACCCCACTCTAATCATGGTCGTCCAACATTTTTGAAATAATCACTGAGGCCTAAGAGACTTTGTATGAGAAACCTCAGCAACTGCAGATGTTTCCCTTTAAAGAAACATGACAGTAAAGCTTTCCTCTGCTCCAGTGCTCTTGTTGCTCAAACGTGGCCCCTAAAAAAAGAGAAACCCACTTTCCTTCCCGCGTGGGACATGATGTCCTGGGAATGAGCCTTCCTGGTGACGAGGGACCAACAAAGGCATAACATCCCCCAAATGAGCCACCTACCAACGGAGAACTGATGCTGATGTTTTCAATAACTGATCACTGCTTTCTGATAATTAATCAGTGATGCTCTGAAGGAAAGCTCTTGATCCAAAGAGAAAAGTTGGAAAATTATAAAGAAATGGAGCCACTTTAAAATGAAGTAACAGCTGCCATCCCAGAACTGCATTTCACCTCTCATGCCGGAAGCATTCGCACTGTTAAAACAGGAAAATAATCTTGGCACTGAGCCCAAAGCAACACAGTGTCCCAAGGAACACAATGTCTCCTTGGTGTCCTTGTTTTCAAGAATAACAAGAAAGCAGCTTTTATGACTACTGGATTTAGGACTACTGGACTGATAACTACCTGACTAAAATATTTAAAACATTGCATAGAATTAGCATCACGATGTTAGTTTATATTGACCAATAGAAATTCCTTCCTTCTGTTGATGTAATTATTTCCCTGTCCTTTCTCATAAATACCCCTGGATCCTGTGTCCTAACCAGAACACTGTTTGGGCTTTTGCATCAACGAGTGCTTTCCTGAACAGCTATTCTTTTGACCTCAAATAAATGCTTGTTGCCTCTCACTTTGAAGGGCCTTTTATTTTTAGGTAAAGACTATCCTAGAAGTAATAGGATCAAGACATATGGAGAATGCTCAGAAGAATATTCATGAGGAAAACAAAGTTGTACATTTTGATGATGGACACCTGTCATGCAGGACTGCAACCTTAACATTCATATCCTGTGCAAATTAGCACGGTGAGCACTTGATTCTAAAGTCAAGGATATTGATCACTGCATAAATTAATAAGATGTTTTATGTGACTCCGTGAGTGGAAAAAAAAAAAAACCAGTCCCTCAGGAAATTCACTAATGAGAAAACTTGGGAAAAGAGAACCAGAGGCATAGAATCATGGAATGCACTGACAGAGGCAAGAGGGGAGGGGGGAGGGGGCGAGGGTTTGAAAGAAGGCCAAGGGGTTAGTCAAGGAACATATATGAGGAGCCATGGACACGGACAATGGGATGGGGACTGACTATGGAAGTTGGGTGGAGCGGGGCAAAGGGGGAAACAATGGAAACAACTGTAAAAGCTAAAACTAAAATAAAAAGTAAAAAAAAACAAACCCATCTTGAACACCCATGCAAATCATGACGTGCATCCAGGCCACCTGGTCTGTCCCACTAAGTCACCTGCTTTGTGGATTAGTGATGCTCCATTTCCTGACCCCAGAGCGGAGACAATTCACTGCTCTGTTTGCACCTCACCTCCCTGCACTCCTCCCTCTTCCTCCTCCTATTGCCGTCTCACACTTCCTTTGTCTGCTGTTTCTCGTGTGGGGAGACGCTGGGAGTCTTGTGTTCAAGGTAGAGAGCCTTCTCTCCCCCACCCGTGTCCCTTGGGCTGTTTGCAAAGCTAAGGAGTGATCTCTTATGTCTGAGCCTTAGACCTACTACACACCGCCTTTTAGAGCAGTTTGCCTACACTAAGATACAAGTCAGAATGTGCGCTCTCTAAGAACTGAAGCAAACTTATATTTTACATGGATATTTACATATATTTACATATATTTTACATAGTGAGGTATTACAATAAACATGTGATTTACAATATTGTACTTCTGGAACCTGAAGACCAGGTAACATTTCCTAGCGTGTTTTCCTAAATGGCATGCTTCCAGTATCCTCTGTGAAAGTCAGGGAAAACCAGCCGCCAGCCTGTTTACCAGAGAGCTGCAGAGTTGATGACCACTCACGCTGCCCAAGGATGAGGGAAACCATATTTTGGTAACCGTTTCAAAGTGCAGTTTGACAAAGGAAATAATCCAGGAAGCTATTATCTCCATGAGACTTTGAAACATTTATGTGATTGTGTTTCCTCATCTAGAAACAAGGGTAACAATGTCCATTCTGCATAACCCTCAGGGTGGCTGTAAAGGAAAAAGTAAGACACTACTTGCAAAGGTGCTTTGAAAAATTCACTATATATGTTATGACTTGCTGAAGAACTCTGTCAAAAACAAAAAAACGGTTTAAAACACTTTATCCATTTCTGCTAACACTAGATGAACGAGTTGCCTTTGACAATATTCAAAACTTGTGATCAGATGACAAGATGGCCTCCCAATAAAAAATATTTAGCATTCTCTTTTCTTTAGAAATAATGGTATAAATTTAACACTTAATAGTCATATCAGTTAGTTAATTTTAAAACAAGCTCATTACTTTGCTGGCTAGTAATTTTACTATATATATATATATAATCAATATATAGATGCATATATAAATAGGACCCATCTATAAATAGTCTCGCCATCAAAAAAAATATATATACATATAATGATTTCTTATTGTCTGGTACTTCCCAAAGTGGACAAGTAAAATGCAGAGAATGGGATTCAAGGATAAAGTGGATCCATGGTGCAGGATGAACTCACAATAGATGCCTCAGGAGACAGTAGCTGTTAGTTCAGGTTCCTGCAGCCCAAGCCTTGAACTCCCACCTCCTTACCCAATTTCCTTTTCAGTGCTGAGGTGGACGCTTCTCGGGGCTCTTCTCTGTTTCTGTGTTCCAGGGAGTCCACGCTGCTGATCTCTGCACAGAGGACAAATCCCTGAGAGTTTCAGGGAGGCACCAAGGAGCCCATGGACAGGAAACCCCGTAATGAGAGCACTAGGAAGACCTAGAAACTAAGTTGACTCAAGTCCCCCTGGTTTGTGCCCCAACATGTGTGGCCTGCAGGTTGCTCCAGGTCCTACACAGAAGGTGTGAGATTCAGGCACGGAGGGCTGCTGTGCCTGTTCTGCAGCAATGCTTACCCCACAGTCACCCTGTCTCCCACCTCCACCCACACTCTACCTCTTCTTTCAGTCTCAGTTTAATTCTTCACGTCCCTATTGGCTCAAACAATTTCCACTAATTACGCCTGGTGATGGCATGTCTTTATAACTCTCCTTGTCTTCACGTGTTCCGTTTTCTCTCCTCCAATGCATATCTTGGTTTTTGGATTTTCTCCCTTTTCTTTAACTCCTACATCCATCACTTTCCTCTCCTGCATAAAAATACCTTCTCTGATATCAGTACTTAAACTGACCATTTCTGCTTTTGGAGTTTTGCAATAACAGGGAACATTTCTCTGCTAAACTTGTTGCATAAGTGCTGGTCCCCGCCCCTTCCTACCTCTAACCAAGGCCGCCAGGACTGCCTCCATGGGCTTTATGATGTTTCCCAGACCCTCAACTAGTACCATGATTCACATCAAACACTCTTTCAGTCAGCCTTACCTATTATGTCAGACTCCTGGTTACAACCACTCTTTGCTCGGGCTTCCCATTCACCTCCTGAATTAAAAAATGACTTTTCCTTCATTATGTCCACTGGCACTATAGGGCAGGAATTCACTGGGATTCCATGATTGTGTAGCTCTGCTCCTAGACAAAATTGCCATAAAGAATTTCATTTGTCTCCTGAAAGGGAGTGAGGACCCACACTACAATTAAGCCCTTCTCCCTGTAATCCCACTGCAGGGAGAGCTCCCCCACCTCTCCTTTCCTGCTGCTATGCTCTGCCCTTCCTTTGTGCCTCTCTGAACTCTGGGGTTTTTGTTTTTTATTTTTGTTTCTATTTTTCAGAGGAGAGGCCTATTTTTATCTGAGAAGGTTCCTGGGCCATTCTCATCACCATGGCTTACTTCTCAATGGTGTTAGGAGCAGTCTCTTGTGCTTTCTTTGTGGTGACGGGCTCCTCCAGTCAGACCAAGCTTGGTTCTCTCTCTCCCAGTTCTTCATTCACGGTTCTTTACTCTTTCTTGACATAGTGCTCTTGGTGTCTCCCTATTTTTTCTATTTATTGATATTTATTTCCCTGTACATCTTTCTATTTATACTCATTCTCTACATTTATTTTTATCGTTGTGCACCAGGGCCCAGCAGGGTCCAGGGTGAAGCAAAGTAGTTGTCCACAGCACAGGAGGTGCTGAGAGTGAGATCCTCTTCACACAAGCTTTTGGGTCCCTGTGTCACCCTCCACCTGACCCTGCTGTGCGCTATGTGAGCCTTCAGTTTATCCATTCTCTGTAATGTTTCCTACTTTCTCCTATTGCATTTCTTAATTATTTCCATGACCTGTGAATGCCCTTTCTATACCAATTTTGTCTTTATATTTTTTCCATCTTAAATATTCTCATCATTACTGAAGTTCTACCCTTGTGACTGTATCCACCACACTGAGTCCCTCTGCCTGCCCGTTTCCCTCCACACTCATCCAGCCCAAACACTCAGTCTTACCTGCTGGCTCAGACACCCGGGCACATTGTTCATTTGCTTGTCGGCTTTCTAGGGCATCGTTGTTGTTACTGGTTGTACCTGTTTCCATTGCAATGATCTCTTCTATTTCAGACAGATTCTCGGAGAGTTCTTTATCATGTGGAGCTGTATATAGACAATGTTTTGATGCATAGGTATTTTATTTGCTTCCTGCATCAATCAGGGTTCAGTAGGCAAATGCCAAGATCTCTAAGCTTTTAGAGAAGAGGCAGTTTAATCCAGGGGATTGGTTCCACAGTTAATGGAAAAGCTGAGAAGCCCAAATAGAAGAGTGCAGCAACCCAAAAAATGGTCAATAGGGAGCTATGCGAGGGAACTAGGGTGAGGTTATGTGCCAAGTTCACCGGGTAGGTAGAAGCCGGACTATGGCTGGCCAGTTTTATGGGAAGTGGTGTCATGGGAGAGATGCAGCTACTGCCAGCACTGAGGCCTGAGAAAGTGCCAACAAATACCTGGCCTCTCCCTTGCTCCCACTCTCCAGTCTCTAGCTCATGCCTCCCAGGACAGGAACCGAACACAAAACAGTACAAGGGAGCTGGCAAGCAGTCCACAGGGGCCAGTGGGCACAGATGGATAAGGAGTGAACCCCCGAGTAAACCACCCAGGACCAGTGCACCCACTTCCCCTTAGTGAACCTCCTCGGCTCATTGTCAACTCCACTGACCCATCCTACTCTGTTCCCACCGACCCCAATAGTGTATGAATGGATAAACACTATTTTCAGTGGAGCTTGAAGTTTTTCATTTCACCTATCAATATTGATTGCTGTATGTTGAATGTTTTATGTTTTTAAATGTTAAATTTTTGACTAAACATGATCTCCTAAAAGTATTATGGTACTTTCAAAAATTATTCTGAAAGGATTTTTTTTCTTTTATAAAAATATATTGCTAACTTAGAACATCCTTTCTTCAACAACACATCCTAGCAGAGGCTACATAATAATGCCTTGTATGCTGTTGTAGAGCAGCTCCAGGCCTGCTGCCCCAGAGATGAGGGCAGAGGATTTGCACGGGATTCACATGGTGCCCGTGGTCCTGTGTGAGGGACCCAGCAGGTGAGAGACCCTGGCTCAGGAGGAACACCCATCACCCCTAACCCAGCCCTCTACTGTAGTGCTGGCTACCGCTGGATGTGATGTTAAGCAAGGCTGCAGCATAGCCAAGCAAGACAGAGGCAGAAGAAGACTGTGAAGCCAGGTGCATGGGCAATAGGTCCAGGCGCTGGTTGTCGGGAGCTGGCAGCATGTGCATTTAAGGAGCATGGAAGGACCAGCCCACCCAGCAACCAGGAAAATGGGGACTGTGTTACCTAAATCTTTGGGGAAACTGCAGATACAAAGAGTGACTCTTATGGGCCATTAGTACGAAAAAGAAACTGCCCTCACCCCACACAGCACATGCCAGCATGGGGCAAGAAGAGCAAAATATCACAAAATAGTTACTAGGAACACACCATTGTGATCTGAGGGATGTGGGCTGTTCCAGGGCAGGCTTGGATATGGGTTCTCACCAGGTCCTAGGGGGAAGAAATTAGAAGTTTATTTCAGAAACTGAAGTATGGGTGGGGCTGTACTCCCTGAATCCCATTTTAATTCTTATAAAGTAGTATTTCAAGATCCGCTCCCCTCATGTATCAATTCAGAGCCCACCTGGAACTGGAGGACCCCACCCCACTGTTACCATCAGCTGCACCCCTGGCCTCAGTCAGGGCATCTCACTGAGATAATTCATGAGACACGTGGTAACTGGGGATGGCTTTTCATGTCACCCCCCGCCACAATGAACCTGTTTTTGTTGTGAGAGCTGCCTTGACTTCTTACAAAGTCTGTTGGCTCATCCCCACATCAGTTCACACCACACCCTCCCTCTGCATGTCTGTTTCTCTGCCTCGCTGGCCTTTCATGAGGCTCAGTGTCTCAGCTTCCTGCACTTGTTCCAGCTCCTGTATGTTTCTTTCTGCATATGTTTCTCTCTCCCTCCCTCTCTCTCTCTCTCTCTCTTTTTGTCTAGGTTTCTGTCTTTTCCATGAGGTTATCTGGGTGTGCACAGGTTTAGGAACACAGACTTGCCTATTTGACCCCAAGCCAATTGCACACCTGCTCTTTCTAGATTTCAGCCTGCTTTTCTACAAATGTGCCGATGGTGACACTGTCCCCCAAGGGCAGCTGTGAGCACTATGTTCCGTAAGTGAGCTCTTAATAATACGGCTGTTTTATTGTGTCCTTTATCCCTTCTCTTGCTTTTCGTTTCCCTTCCTTCTTTCTCTCAAGGTACAACCAACCCCTCCTCCACATCTTACCACTTCCCTTCCTCTCTCCCCATATGACCGCCCAACTCCTTGAATATTCCTGCTCCTAAACAGCCTCCCCCATATTTACATCAGTCCTGTTTTCTGTCATCATTAAGGATCTCCTCTGAGATGTTGACTTTGTGTCCACAGTTCTTAGCCTTTCACAGCTTCACACTGATCTTCTCTTCCAGGGTCTTTCTAAATCACAATTCTTCCAGGTCAGTATTCTCATTAAATCTGGTTTCCTGCTTCATTGGGTTCCTCTTTCTTTGTTCTGGTTGTTGGGTCCATGGTGTCTCGTCCCAGCTGCTCCTCAGGGATCAACCGCTGGTCGGACTCTCATACGAACACCCCTCCCTGCCTTCTCCAAGCTCCCCAGCAGTTCTCCCCTGAGTCCCGAAATCCAAACAGAGCTCAAGTGCCCCCTACCTTGTTCAAATCTTGATTGGGTATCAGGCCTCTCCTCATTTTCTTGTGCATAATTTTCTGGAAAAAGTTTTTTGTCTGGTATCTCTGAAGAAAGGACAAAAACAAGAAGACAATTAGAAATCTCCATCAAGGATAGTGACATCACCTTAAATTACATGTGTAAGAATTTCCAGCCCTTGGGTCACTCAGTGCTTAGTGGGTCCCAATGCCGATTGTGAAGTTCCCCTGGGACAGAAAAGAGAATCCTCCAGCAAAGAAGGCTTTGTGCTTCCCACACAGAAAGGAACCACTTGAATGTCAGGACAAAGAAACTGTGGGTCCCTGGCCAGTGTGGGTCAGTTGGTTGGGCCAACAAACAGAAAGGTCCCTTGTTTGATTCACCACTGGGGTACATACTGAAGGCAGCAAATCGATGGTCCTTTCTGACATCAATATTTCTTTCTCTTCTTTCTCCCTCCCTCACCCTTTCTTTAGAATTCAGAAATAAAAATTAAATTAAAAAATGATGTTTTGGAAACATTGTGAACTTGTTACTTGTGAAAAAATTCAGCTGGCCAAGAAAGTGTACATTAACATAAATAATGTTGTTTATTTTGAAATGTGTTTGCTGAAGTGTTTAAATGTAAGGGAGAAACAGAGGGATTTCCTTTGGAGGAGAACAGAGATCTTACAGCGGTTCACATGTACACAAAAGGAAAAGCCCAAAAGGTTTAAAAATGTTACAGGACAAGAGAAGGTTTCGGCTTGATTAAATCAGGGAGGACGAGTGCTTCCCACAGAGACAAATCAGAGGACATGGGAGCAACTAGACGTCCCAGGGGGTCTCAGATCCCAGGACAAAGGAAGGACAGTGTCTGAAGCTACAAGCAGGGAGCGAGTACTGGAGGACACCCCAAGAGGCCTCATCAGGGACCTGGGAGGCAGCCAAAGAGGGGAGAACGTGGCAACAGCCCAGGGCCCCTGCATGGAGGTGACCCAGCGAACACTGGAGGAAGGACATAAACCCAAAATTCCTGGGGTAGGTCTCTGCGGGGAGGCCAGAGTGGAGCCTGAGGGAGCAGTGAGCCCATATGCCTTAGGGCTGGTGGCAGGGGCATCTCCTGGGGCAGTAAACCTGTACTTATAAACCTGTCCTATCTTCTTCCTGTGTGGCAAATAACATCAAATTCCTTAGGTTTAGAAACCAGACCTTCCAAAATCTCTTTTCAAACTCGCCTCTCTTGACTCAGCTCCCACAGTCTGCTTCTCGCTCTGACATGGTCTGATCTGTGCTGGTTCCGCAGACACACGGGACCTTTCCCGTTCTGCCTGTCCCTGCATCAGCTGCACTGCTCAGTGCACCCAGTCCTCTTCCTGCGGATTCTCCATCGCTACTTGGGGATCTTTGTGCGACAAAACTCCTTTAGGATAAAAAAATTTTCTAGGCAAGTCAATCAAAAATTTTTGGAGAATGTTTTGTTTAGCGAGGACCAATAAAAAAGTATAAAATCACGCCTTCTCAGGGAAGAAGGAGAGAATCAAACCTGCAGTTTTTGTGTAATATCAAAATAACCCCACCTCTGGCAGAGCAATTGCTTTTGTGATTATTTGATTGTTGATCACATGTGTAGCAGGGAATGTGTTACTAAAACCATCTGTTCTTCTTCAAGGGCAAACTGAAGTTAATTTTCATGCTTATTGCTCTGGCAACCTGGTGAAAGTGGCCTCTCTTCTGTGTTACTAGGCCAACACTGAGCTTAGAGTTAAAAATGAGCAGTGGCAGTAGGTAGGTAAATTGCGTGTGTACTAGCAGGGACTAAATGCAAACTCTAAGCCATTTTTGGTCTTTCTCCAATGCGGTGGCCCTTGTAAGTTGGCTCTTCTCTCGTGGGGTCGTGGAAAGTTATGACTACAGAGTTGTTACACAAGATACTCACTTGCATGGACATGGTGTGGCTAAATCAGGGTGGATCCTGCACCCACAGCTAAGCTGCCACTCGAGGCAGGTAGGAGTCAACCGGGTGGACTGCTGTGTGGACTGCTGCACAGGGTCCCACAGGAGAGCGGCAACAGATGCTGTCTATTGGGATGTTGTGTTTCTTGTCATTTGTCCTTCTAAGTAAGTCTGATGCCACTGGTTGTCCTGTGAGTCTAAATGCTTCATTAAGCAGAACCCAGATGGGCATTATACTGTATCCATTATATTATAAGCTTTGAGAAGCTCACAGTATGTTTGTTTTCTTGACTGTCATATCCCCACTGCCCAGCACTGTGTGTGACACATGGTAGAGGCTCAATGTATACCTGTGGGAAGAAATTGGCCCTGGACATCAAAAAAGTAGGTAATAAACCTAATTACCATTTTTGAAGATTTCATAAATATGCTTTAAATCAGGGTTTCTTTTCAAGGTGAACTCGTCGAACAATATTTTCAGAAGGGATGGTTCAAATTTCCTCTGCACTTCAGTGAGAACATTGTATACGACTTCTTCAACGTTTTGACCTTTTTTAAAAGTTTCTTTAGACACCTTAAACATAGTGAACGAGGAAATATAAACACAGACTTCCAAGTTATAGAAGAGCCCTAGAAAGTAAATTTGTTGTAATATATTACAGCTTTTCTGCATAGGTATCTTCCCACGTATACTTTTATAAGTATACATTTATATACATTTGTATATGCTGTATGGCTACTAAGTGGAACAACTAAATCCTTCCTTCTTGAAAATCCCCATTTGTGAATCTGATCTCCTCACTCTCATTTACATTAGATGGAGGGAAGAGCAATTTTGAACAAAGATGGTTCAGAGTTAAATGACGTGTAGCTCTTGCAGAGCCTGGCCAAATGTTTCAACAATAGACTTAGCAGGTGATGGACTGATGTTCTATTGACTGGACAACCCTTGTCCCTTTCCCAGGACCGACTCTGCCTGGAAAGGCTCAGGGAAGCCAGGTGGGGATTTTCCTCTTCCTGTGAACTTTGCCATAAAGTAAACATATTCACAGGGAAAGAGAAGACTTGCATCTCTGTATCTCCACCTATGCCTTTCACAAAAGTTAACCTAAATTCCAAGACTTCAGAAATACCAACAGAAAAGAAAAAAAAAGGAAAGGAAACGGAAAACTTTTGGAGAAAAAATAGCAAGAATTTACTTTCAAATTTGCCCTAACAAGACATTCATTCTCTGGGGATTTTAGTGTTCTCACATATAAGTATTTAAATGATGCTCATTGAAATGAAATATTTTGTCAATTATTATTCCATTAAATAAAATCTTTAAACTTATTCATCTATTCATTAAAATTACTTTTAATTCCTGGTTTATGCTATATTGTATGTATAACTCCTACAAGGCATTGTACACCTGTGGAGCCCACCCACTTCAGATCCAGCCTACCCCAGGGCTATTCACCCAACTGTAGGGGGCGCACGGAGGCACATGGGGCAATGTTCCCTCGGTTAACAGCAGGACTGTTTCCAGTAGTGCCTGCTTCTCTTCTCCCTTCTGACCTGGTAGGAATACTTACAGCAGTACATGAGAAGGTCCACTCACAGGAGACTCCTCAGTAGTCTCATGGTGTCTGACACTTGACTCCAAAATATCAAAGCAAAACTCAGTTTACGGCTGATGTACCAGCCTGTGACAAAGTAAACCTCACTTACATCATACATTTCACTGGTGATGAAGTCATGGTCATGGAGAAGTTCAAAGAAAGGAAATGAATCTTTTATCTTATGTGAAATCGCCACCTTGTGCTTTTTGAAGAGCTTCCGTGCTTTGTTCTCTATGCTGTTGTCTGTGTCCTGGGCTTCTGCAGACATACTAGGGAGAGGGGATACCATGATAAAACGATCATCAATATTTTGGTATGCTGTAACATTTTATATATGAAAGACAGGCTGTGAAGAACCAAGCTATATAAAATAAATGGTCCTGAGCAGAGATTAGAACAAATGAATTGAAGCAATAGACAAAGCTATAATAAAGTGAAACATGGCGGATTAGAAAGACATACACAGTACTGAAAAATTCCAGCCTGTCCTGATGAAAAACCATTGTAAAGTTATTGTCTCCTAAACACATTTAGAATTTTTTATGAAAATGTTGTAATTTGTGCAAAAGTGAGATGCAGTAAACAGATCATTCACAGAGGAATACAAAACAATTGAGTAAAAGTGGAATCTCAGTGTAAAAATGCATCTTAATTAACAACTAAAAAAACATAAATCTCAAAAAGATAAAAACAAGGTGTTCCCTCTCTGACCTACATCAGGTAAGAGAGATACCATACTGAATTATAAAGCTAATTTATAAATGATATGATGTTGTACATAATGATATGATAAGGCATAAACTGGTATTTCACATGAATATCAATCATTTCTCCTGGGACTTCTGCTTTGTGCCAATATCTATCTGTCTGTGCTATTGTTGTATTTAATGAATTGTTTTAGTCACCTGAATTTCAGAATGGCTGCTGTTTTCTGTGAAATTAGTTGTCAACCTGAGTCTGTAATTCTGCTTCTTAGTTGATCATTTTATTGCTCTGGTAATAATCTTTTAATAGACATTTTGCATTTCTAAATGTGATGAAGCCTTATACGCTTCCTTTTTCAAATCAGAAAAAAATTATTGGCTCTTCCTAGCACGCACCATGCATCAGGAAATAAAATTGTCACATCATTGTGTTAATTCTGTAAAAAACAAATTTCTGGTTCCAGATTGTGAATTGAAGATGAGCTTTTGTCTTCTGTCATATTAAAAATGCCACTAAAATGATAATTAAAATTGGTTTCACAATGAGGAAGAGAATGGCAGGGGGCAGTGACAAATGAGAAATTTCAACAACAAAAATGTCAGAGGAGCATTAGTTGCTATTGTGGGTGAAGGGCGCTGCCAGCCGTCAGGAGGCAACCCTGTGCCCTGTGCAATCTTGAAAGCAGTGGAGACTGAAAGGGAGACATGATGCTGAAAGCTAACATGTTATTTGAAAAATGAAGAACAGGATGATGCACTCTTCACCCCTCAGCCTTCATCCTGACCAGCTGGAGCCAGGCAACCTCTCTGTGGCAAACATTAGTGTCCTTTCTGTCACCATATGTTACTGTTACCTGTTACTAGATCACTGTAGTAACATCATGTGTGCTTTTGTGTCTGACTTCTCTTGCTCATCTTCTATGCTGTCATGTGAATGGAAGTTTTCACCTCTCGTTGTTCAGTGGTATTCCATTGTGAGTGCCTACCAGAATTTGTTTAGTCATTTTCTGGCTAATGGACGTCTGAGGTGATTCCAGTTTAGTATGGGTATGAATAAAACTGCTGTTCTTTTTTTTTTTTAAGATTTTATTTATTTATTTTTAGAGAGGGAAGGGAGGGAGGGAGGAAGGGAGAGAGAGAGAGAGAGAGGGAGAGAGAGAGAGAGACATCAATGTGCGGTTGCTGGGGGTTATGGCCTGCAACCTAGGAATGTACCCTGGCTGGGAATCGAACCTGGGACACTTTGGTTCCCAGTCCACGCTAAAACTGCTGTTCTTGTACAAATCTTTCTGTAGTACGTTTTTGTTTCTCTTGGGTAAATAACTAGGAGTGGAATTGCTGGTTCATCGTGTAGGAGTACATTTAACTGTTTTCATACATGTGAAACTGTTTTTCAAAGTTTATTAGAAATATCTTTTCTACTTTAGTCATTTCAGTGTGCTCTGTGGTATCTCACAGTTTTTTGAAAAAAATTTCATTGTTGTTCAAGCACAACTGTCTCCATTTTCCTTGCTGCCATTTTCCCTCACTCTACCCACCTCCACCTCCCACCCTCAGTCCTACTCTTCTTTGGCTTTTGACTATATTTATTTAATGACTGATGATGTTGGAAACAATTTCATATGCTCATTGGAAATTCATGTGCCTTTTTATGTGAAGTTTTTGTTCAGGTCTATGGCCCTATATATAGACCTGTGTATATTATTGAGTTGTCTTATACTTAAAGATGTGTATAAGCCCTGGCTGGCGTAGCTCAGTGGATTGAGTGCGGGCTGCGAACCAAAGTGTCGCAGGTTCGATTCCCAGTCAGGGTACATGCCTGGGTTGCAGGCCATGACCCCCAGCAACCACACATTGATGTTTCTCTCTCTCTCTATCTCCCTCCTTTCCCTCTCTAAAAATAAATAAAATCTTTAAAAAAAGATGTGTAGAAGTTTGCTCTATATTTTAGATATAAGCATTTATTTAAAATAGTTGTGGTGAACCTTTTTTCCCAATCTGTGCTTTGCTTTTCATTTTTTTTAACTCTGTCTTATGATGAGGAGAAATTTTAATGGTGATAAAGTTCAATCTGTCCATTCTTTCTCTTTTGTGATAAACGACTTTAGTATACTATCTAAGATATCTTTGCCTACTCAAAGTTTATAAGTGTATTCAAAAGCCAACATGTCTAAATCTGGATTTTCTCTTCTGTACCATCGATCTATTTGTCTGTCCTTGTCAGTGAAACTTTGGCTTGATAACTATAGATTATAGAAGTCTATAATGGGAGGGGAGTGGGGAGGGCTGGGTGGGTGGACTGGATTGGGAGTAAAAGGGAGAAAACTGTACTTGAACAATGATTAAAATAAAAAAAGAAGTCTTGAATTCAGTTGGAAAGAGATAGTCTTGAGTTTTTTGGATCTTTTGCTTTTCCACATATCTTTAGAATCAATTTGTCAATTTTGTCCAGACAGGTCTTTTGGATATTTATTGTGTTTGTATTTAATCTATAGATAAATTTGCTAAGAATTGATATCTTAACTACATTCAGTTCCAATTTGTTAACATAATAACACCATTTATGAAATTTTCCTTCATTTCACTTGCCAGTGTTTATAGTTTTCAGCCCAGATGTCATGTATATCTTTTCTTAAACTTATTCTTTTTGATACTCTTTATTTTTTTCTTTTTTTAATCCTTACCCAAGGACATTTTTTATTTCTTTTTGGAAAGAGAGAAAAGGAGAGGAAAGAAAGAACCAGAGAGAGCATGACAGAGAGAGAAGGAAAGGGAGGGAGAAATACTGATGTGAGAGAGAGACATCAATTGGTTGCCTTCTCCTATGTACCCCAACTGGAGCTCAAACCTGCAACCTCTTTGTGACCTGACTGGGAATTGAACCTGCAATCTTTTGGTCTGCAAGACAACACTCCCAAAAAGTGAGCCAAACCAGCCAGAGTTAGATGCTAATTTAAATGGTACTGATTTTTTAATTGTTGGTTACTATTGTAGAAAAGTGGCATTGCTTTAAAAAATATTAACCATGTATCCATAACCTTTCTAATTCACCTGTGAATTTTTGTAAAGTATTACAGATTTACCTTGGATTTTACAGAAAAAAAAATCTAGACATTATAAAAACTCCTTTGATTTTTGATTTCCAACAATTATTTAAACTTCTTATTGCTATGGTTAGGAGTTTAACTTCATTGTTGAAGAGAAGTTGTGAGATCTGACTTCCTGGTCTTGTTTCCAATCTTTGAAAAAAACTCATTATCACTATTAAGTATAAGTTTTGTTCAACATTTTTGTGTATATATTTAAATGAGACTGAGGGAGTTTCTAGCTATTGCTAGTTTGTGGAAATTTTACCAGAAATGGATGTTCAATTTTATCAGATGTATCCACGGAGATATTTATATGGTTTTCCTTCTTTAGTATTTAATAGTAAATTTCATAGACCTATTTCTGCAGCCTCTTATTAAGCTACAATATACATGACAATTCCACAGACTTTTGAGGAAATTCTTCAATGTCAGAATGAAAGAATAAAAAAAAAATTAAAAAGTTACTGTGAAAAATGGGAGACTTCTTCCCAAAGTAATATTTTTAGAGTGACATGAGAATTTATATTGCACAACATGATGCTAAGAAAATAGAGCTACTATGGAAAGATGTAGAGGTCTTACATATATTTTAAACGATTTTAGAAATATAAATTATTTTAATGGTTTTAAAATAAAACTGAGGAAATATCCCACAAAACTGGGTAAAGAGATTAAAATGGAATAAAAGTAATCTTGAGAGAAAGTATAAGAAGACAAGCCTTAACACCCAATGTAATAGCCATGTATCTGCTGGACAGAGAAAATGGAGAGGAGGAACATATCAAAGGAATCCTTTAAGGAGACACCACAGAGTAGAATTTTTTGAAAGGGCACAGTTGGGTATTTTACACAAATGAATTTCAAAAGAACCTCCAAGGTACACTGTTATGAAATAACACCTGAAAAACAAAGAGAAAGACATAAACTTCTGGGAAGAACCGAGAAACTGGAGCCTATGGAGGAGTGACGGAGCAGAGCTGAGACGTCTCTCCCACAGCAGTGGCTGTAGAGCCAGGCTTTCAGATCTCAGAGTGGATCAGGTCACCTTCACACATGGGGGGCTGAGAGATTTTACTTATGAAATTACACTTTTGATGTTTTTTCTAAACTTTTATTATTTTCTTTTTTTTCTCACTAAAGTCTGTCCTTTATTTTATTGCCTTAGTTTTCCCTTACAACCCTCTTCCTGTTGCAGGATCCCACCCCAGACAGCTTGTCACATTGGCTGGGCAGGTCTCCTCAGGCTCGTCTGCCTGGGGCTGTTTCTCAGACTGTCCTTGCCTTTGTGACTTTGACAATTCTGAGTGCTGGTCAGGTATTTTGTAGAATTCCTCCCAGCGGGGCTTTGTCTGACGTCATGATTACCCTGGGGTTATGGATTTTGAGGACGACATCGTAGAATGCCGAATGCTGTGTCATTCTCAGCATTTCTTTCTTTTTTTTTTAATCATTGTTCAAGTACAGTTTTCTCCCTTT